ACCGCAGTGGCGCGCTATCAAATTCAATTCTTCAGCCGAATCTTCGCTCGATTCTGTGAAACGATAACGGGCCGACAAATGTCATCGAAACTTGGCAGAGGCCGAACGAGGTCGCAGTTTCTTGGAAGGAAACCCCTTGAAAATTCTACGTCCTCACGAAATTCCGTGTAGAAACGTTCCACTAAGTTTTATTCGTCAATGAAACTCGATACCCCACGGAATCGAGGGCAACCTTTGCTACCGGGATCGATTAAGGGTTGCTTGTCGTTTCTTCAAATTGTCGCAAACGTTCTCGCGTACCATCGCGTCGTTCGACTCGCGAAACCGTGAACCGCTCGAAATTGGAGTTAAGGTGAGAAACTTTATCGAGAGGACAAGTTTAAGATCACCTTAGCCAATCAAGGTTTAGATTAAGGCAGATGTAGTCTCTAGGGACGGTTACCATGACTACCATCCCCATTTCTGTATCCTCCTTTCTGTCCTTTCCCAATATCACCACTCATCTTACCTCTTCCCTCTCTGCTCAAAGGGAAAGGTCACCAGGTCGACTAATGTAAAATCATTTCACTTGCATTTCGTGATCACCTGATACGATTATAAGTTTCACGAAAGTCAGAAATATTTTCTTGTTCAATTTCGAGTTACTTGTCTGACTATCTATGGATTTATACTACTTCACTGAACACTTATATTCTTGTTCTACTTGTCTTTACGCTTATAAACATCAATATTTTCCAAAATTTTTTTTAGACAACTTCTTGTAACTCTTGTATAATTAACTTCTTTCAACTTTCAAAAGGTTTACATGTTGCAACATTGAAACTATGAAAATATCGATGAAAATGATTGCAAATCATGCAACCTTCGTTATAAATAACGTGTTCTTTTTTTTCTAATCCCAAACAGATTAAAAAAGTTTCCATCAGCAAAGTTTATATCAAGCGCCTTTATCTACGTAATAATTAATTCGTTATTTATATAAGCACAACTTGATGCGAGATTCTATGTAGCACGCGAGCATGATTTTGAAAGTGTTTCTCAACCCAGCGCGAATACGATCAAAACAATGTTTCCTTAAATTTCGCAGCAAAGAAAAGGGGACCTCGCGACGCGACACGGATGTTTCTATTTCTACTCCGATAAACGGCGAGAAGTGAGAAATTCAATCTCAAATATTCGTTCGTTGCGAACGAGAATCGCATTCGATGAAATTGCGTGTTCTCGAATGAAAGAAGAAAGTTTCAGCGATGTTGTTCCGGGATCACTACGATTCACCGAATGTACAGTTCCTCGATTTAATAACCGAGAGTAGGTTCCCGTAACTCGAAACTACGTTAATCATGCTGCGAAAAGTCGGGATTAAACGTTGGATCGAATTGTTCGTTTCGTGGCTTCGTTTTATTTCTCTGAATTCAAACGGATCACCGACGGTTCAAATTGAAAGAGCATTCTCGTATTTCCAGCGGTTTCCAGCACCGCACGTAAACAGTTTTATCCGGCAACGTTGAGATAAATTTGAAAATTCAATTCCACGCTCAACAATTGGTCCAAACAAAAAGTACTACTCGAAAATTTGGTTATTTCTAAAAATTCTAGGCAACGTTCTACGATAATAGCACACTGATGTATATTTTTTTTCTCTTACGGTTTGCCGCTTTCGCAGCTGGAAAATGTTTTAAAAGGCGGGAACCCGGAGAAGGAAATTTTACCGTCTCGGTAAGAAAGTTAAGCTCGGAACGTAATTCCCTGGCGAGTCGCGGTACTTTTTCGCGCGTCAAATTTTCAAGGAAACGTGACGCGCTATTTGCACGGGCGTCCATCGTCGCGACGTTTACGATTCTCCTGTAGAAGTGTAATTGAAACGCGCGAAATTAAAAGGAACAGCTTGATATTCTTCGGACTAAATGAAGTTTCATCTGCGGGGCGTGGTTTGGTGCAGTCGCAGCTGCATCTGGTACTCGTTAGCGGGAAACAGGGAGGAACAGAGGGGGACAGACGAGAGGGTTTAAGTGCTCCTGTTGCGCTACTTTCCGAATGAAAATTCATCACCGGGAATTAAGTTTTTACTTCCGTGCGTCGTACGTTTAAAACTTGGATTACTCGCCGAGCAATTTGCATTGTGAACCATCCGTCATCAAACGACTCCAGGTTTATTTTAGATAAACGCTGCCCTCTTCTATCGCGACGTTTATGAATATTATCAACGTCAGTCAACCTTCTTCCCTTGGTTAGACAAATAACGTATGTTGATATGGATACAGATTTTCGAGGCATGATGTCAACACTTTTCTGTCATAACTCGTAGTTTTTCCTATCATTTTTACTCCAGCCACGTTTCCCGACATCTATAATTTTCTCTGGTAGCACGCTTTCAGATTGTATTTCTATTTCCAGTTCGTATTTCCGGCACGCTTTTAGACGGAATTTTTCGCCTCGCCTGGGTTACCCGTAGATTTTCGCGGCGAAAGTCGCGATATATCGTTCGATGAATCAACCCCGTTAGACGGCGCGCCCGGAACATATCGGAGTCACGCAATTTCCGCCGATGAATAAGCCGCGTCGCGTCGCGGTGCCACCGTTAAACGCGTTCCCGCCACGCGTCGACATTTTAACCATGCAGAGATGCAATTTAGCGGGTAGAGCGCCCTTTGTTGGTCGATTTCGTTGTCACGAACGGAGCCGGGTTTCGGCCTTCGTTATTGTGCCACGAAAGCTCCTTTGTGCACGACGATGTCACCCTCTGCTAAAAGGCCAACGATGCTTTCGCGAGTCGCGTTAAATATTTCGTTCCACGTGTTGCGAACAGTGGTCGGAAGGGATATACTTTTTAAACTGGCTAGAAATTCGGGAAAGTTACGAGCTTACTCGAACGTGTAATGAAATTAATTTAGGCTATAAATCTTGATACGAGAACGAGCAAGGTCTTCCTAATTTTAACCAATTTTTCATCGTACGTCCTGTGAAATGAATCTTTCCGTTCGTTTATGGTTTGCGGGAAATTGCTTGAATTAATATTTATGACTTCGTGTTTCGACATAATTCGATTCGATGACATAAAATTACATATAAGTTTCCTGATTATTTTCGTTGTAGTCAAACTTTTGACCTTTTCCAAATTGCCTCGTTTTATTACTTTCATTTTACTGGTACATTAAAAGAAAATCTGGATCTAAATTGAACCGTTAACTTTCGGTTTTATTCGTCATTTGCCGTGACCACGATCGATCTTCGTCAATCGAGATTCCACGAGGCATAACGATACCGATCACCGTCTCCTTGACCGGATTTCCGGCCAACCCGAATGAAGAATCGCTCGTGAACAATGTATCCCCTCGTCAACTTACTTGCTGCCTAAGTTCCACGGTTTTCCACTTTCCCAGGAAATCGTTTTCCTTTAACGTTTCAACGGCACGGTGAAATCTGGAATTTCTGTTCTATTCTCTCGTAAATTTCACGTTCGGTGCTGTTTCGCTTTTAAACGAGATCGAATGCTGCACGGCTGGTATAGACTGAAATATTTTTATAGCCAGCAATTGGTAAGTTTTGGTCGTTCGAATTTTCAACGGTCCAGGATCAAATTATCCTTGGTTACGTGTTTCATTGGATCACAGCAGATTTATCTAAGAAGCTTTTATTAAATTTTATAGATTATTTTTAGAAAACAAACAAAATTATACTTCGATAAACACTAGCACGATGCATATTCTGTTTCCATAAGAATCTGATAATTTTATTGACCAGTATCGAAAGACTGGCTCGAGTTTTACTGTCAAGTTTTAAGGCTCCCGAAACGAACGGCAGTCAACAAAAAGAAATGATATGGTTAGGGATTAATTTTCAAGGGTGGCCTATATTTGGCTGTTCATTTTATGACGTTTCACGTAGTTTGTGCAGTCTCGTTAATGTCAAAACGTCTACTTCGAAGCTTTTTTAAACGCTTACTGCTACTAGTTACGTCGTACTAAACATTCTTCCGCCACACGTTCCTACATCCTTCGGGATATCGGTACTTTATGCCTCCACTCAAACAAACCGTGGCGGTATTAACCTAGAAAAGCTTCGTTCGGTTTGATGCCGTTGAAATAACCGTGTTCTCGTTCAGCGCGATCCTCGTTTCTGCGAAACGTTATCCCCAACGTCGACGAGACGTATCGAATCCTTTTGTCGAAACGACTTCGCTCCGTTTTATCAGCGGCCCCTCGGAATAATTCCTTTGAAATTGTGCCTTTACTGAAATACTGTCCTGCGCGCATCGTATTTATACAGGCACCTGCTTGTTTATACCGAAATTTTCTCGTTAGAATTCAAAAGCTCGAGCAGATCAAAAGGAACGTTATCTGATGTTATCGGAAGTAGTACAGGTCAATGATAGAAGGAACCATTAACTTTTTCGTTCTACGATCGCTTTTGAAAGTGGAGCAGAGAAAATTAAAATGTACCAGGAAGGGGAACTTCGTACTTTGAAGAAAATTGCTATAACCTGTTAATTGCAAAGATAGAACGTCTTGATGATTAGCCTTGCAAATGAAGCGACGAAAATTGAATCCTATCAGGTAGACTGTATTCTACGTTTCTTCTAGTTACTCTATATTAAAACATTCCCGTATTCGAAAACTTCAAATGCACTGAAAATGCACCAGAAAATCTCTACTCTACAATCGCCGCGACTAAGTTCCATAAGGGAGAGATTCTACTCGCAATCGTCCTAGAAAGTAGAACAACAAAGATTAAAACGTGCCATGAAAACTGCGTTCTTTGTGCGTTTGTCCCAGAAATTTACCAAGAAAAATAAGAGACACCCAGATAGAGATATCTTGGATTCCTACAGTCGGCAGAAATACAAGTTAACTGTTATAAGTAGTTCAACTCGACCATATAAGAAACTTTATCAAATTCTATGTAATAAATCGCATCTGTTCAGGAAATGTTCCCCTGCATCCCTAAAAAAAAGGTCCTGCAAAGTCGAGTGGAAGTGCTAAAGGTGTTATTTGTTGTTGCAGCTGCGGAAGCCAGTGTCGACACTCTCGATCCCGGGGGCGATGAAGAACAGCGGCGGCGTGGCCGGTGGGGGTGGCGTGGTGATCGCCGGGGGCGTTGGCGGGGGTGCTGGTTGCGGTAGCGCGACTGCTACCGGAACCGGTGAGGACGCCGGAATCGCCCTCGTTGGCGTCCATTCCGAATACCCACGGTACATGGACGACCGCCTGCTTGCCGGCGGTGGTCAAGTGAAGGGCCATTCGGGCAGCATAGGGCCGGGCTCGAAACACAAACCGAACGTCGGCTACCGGCTGGGCAGACGGAAGGCCCTGTTCGAGAAGAGGAAACGTATCAGTGACTACGCGCTCGTAATGGGCATGTTCGGTATCATCGTGATGGTCATCGAGAACGAACTGTCCAGCGCCGGTGTCTACACCAAGGTGAGTTGAACAACCCTCTCCCTTAGTAGGAATATCATTTTCTGAGATTCGTATCTCAAATCCACAGCATTAATTCTTTTAAAAGAAATCAAAGACAATCAAGCGAAAGAACTCCGCGAAATTCCTAGACCGTTTACTTTTATCCACCCTAATGTGCCCTTCTCGCGTAAAATTATCATAGAAAGCACAACAGCCAAGTACATTAGCATACAGCCTGCAGCGAACGACGGCTTAAACACCCATTTCTCCTTACGTTACGAAACGGAAACCACCCCTGTTTATGTACGCTCCCAACATTAAGCAAATTCGATTCTATTCGAATCGATCCTTGGCTAATTATGAGTACATTGATAGCGATCGATAAGATCGAATATAAATCACCTAGTAAACTGTGACCAATTGATCGTTACAGTGATCGTACGGTTACATTCTGTTTTTTCTTTTGATGTAAATTCATAAATGAGTTTCGTGGAAGTTCGTTTCAACAATTCGTCGGAAGCACAAAACACGCTAGGATTGTGCGAACACTGAATTTAAATTGAACCAATTACAAAATGACCTACATTGGAGACACATTAAATGGTTACAACGTAAAGAAAATTAGAAACATCATAGTTTATAGAACGACCTGACACGTTAGATAGATAGAGTTGTTCTAAAAAATAGAATTTCAATAGCTCTGCACTAAGTGAGATTTTATAAACGAATTAGAGTTAGCTGATCCTTTCTAATAAAATATAAATGTTTATCTACCGTTTAACAGGCGAGTGCATGAAAAATGAATTTCGAAACAGTAGTCGTTACACTTTTCCCATCACGTCCTCGAACAAAACATTGAATCTTTTAATTGCATTCAAGTGGTTAACTCTCCGCAAAACATTTCAGAATGATCAACAAACAACGTTATAAACCCTGCAAACAAAACGACCGAGTCTTTGGCAAAGGTAATAACTGCGAGGCACGCGGAGTAAGCTAATGACTTTGCAAATGTTTATAAAGTACGCTTCAAAGTTAGTTTTACCTTTTTAGGGAAAAAAGGAAACTTCCCCCTTTTAAGTTTGCAATTAACACGGAACGACATTATACTTTTGTAGAAAAGTAGATTTAAACAGAAGTATCGTTGGTTTTACCAAGGCATCTTGCTTTATACCTTTTGTCGATGACAACAATGGTACCTTTGTTCTTTCATTTTCCTCTACGACCCGTAATTTCCGTGTTAATTCAAAGGTGTTCGCGTTTCGTTCGATTAACCAGCCAACAAGAGAATGGAGAGCAGAATAAAATTACTATTAAGCCATAACTTGGAATCGTAATTAAATGTCACGCGTGATCATCTGGTGAGAAAATTGTTTCATTTTCTGACGTTATTCTAGAGTTGACATTTTCTTACCTAGCTACAGATTTTCTATTACACCGTGAATTAAACAGTATCGTTTATAAATGATCAATTAAGCGTTTCACTTGGCTGAACATTATTCTTACATGACGTTTTGCTTTTCATAACCGATAAAACTTACATCCAACGATCATTTCGCGATCGAACGCCTCCTGTTTTGGTCAATCTTCACCGAACATCTTGTTTCTTACTACCTCGCTTGATTTCGTTTGCAAAATACCGGAAAACGAATAATTCAGCTTACAAACGTCCCTCGAATCGGTCGTCTGAAATTATTGCCCTGTTTATTCCCCCCCTGAGTCGTCTTTTCGTACCGCTCAAACGTACCCTTTAGCGAGCACTCGAAAGGAACCTTAACGAAGCCGTTTTCTCTCTGCCCATTCATCCCCTAATCACCCCATTCCCCATCGGGTTAGTTAAATCTAGCGTGAGCAGAGGAACGCCTTGGTTGACGACTAAATTACGTTGTTGACCATTGCAATCTTCTCTCTGAGATCGTGCCAAGAAAGCAGCGAATACATTAACAATATTCGTATACAGGGTGATGCGATCAGAAAGATTAAAATTTTATTTTTGATAAAAAAATGTAAGGGCTCGAATTTCGAGTGTACATTCAAAGTTGATTTTCTCCAAAACAGAGCCACGTATGGGAAAATTGCGTTCTATATTTTTATTTCGCTTTTTAACAAAGAATATTAGCCTTTTTTCTGTTGTATCGTTAAGCACCCTGTATATCGGGGCTTGGAGAAATATTTCAGACTGTCGACTGTGCTCGCCGGAAAGAAGGCCAGGGGATGCATTCGATTGCTCCCTTTCTTTCAAACCGTGAACGTTCTGACGGGATTCTGGGCCAAATCGTACATATCGGGGAAGCATGATCGACGTGCAACCCTTATACAGGGTGTCTTTCTTAAAATAATCTTTCAATTTGTTTCCGATAGGCTAATCAATCACGTGTCATGTTTCTAAGTAACGACAGAATTTGCTCCTCACGCTATTAATTTAATTAATTAGTTCGACTTTTAGTTGATTTGTATCGGTGTTTGATGAAGAAGAAAAAGGATTAACGAATTCAGATTCGAGAGATAGATCGAATCTGGAACAATGAGAGGGTAAAATGTCAAGAAACACAATGTAGAAAGTGTGTCAGTGAAGAAGAATGTACTGTTACCGTAACTAGAACCCCGATAAAATATCTTGTACGTGTAACGTGTCGAGATATTTACGCCTGCTCTCGGTTATCAGATTCGCTGGTTGGCAACGCGTGGCTTTTCGAAGAATTCGAAAATTCTCGCTGCTGCGCTGTTATATACTGAACGAATCGAATTGCAAATATTGGGAGGGACGGCGGAGTATATTCTGAGAAGGAAATTCCGAAAATCGACAACTTGTCGATCGCATCGAGCTTCATTCTTTATGCATTGCTTTGGGGATCGTTGCTCCTTTGCGTTTCCTAGAGAAACTAAAGAAAATTGGAACAATATTCTTCGTCTTTTATATTTATATACTTGAAAACAAAAGATAAATTTATTAATCGTAAATCTACTTTACTCGATGCTGTACTGAACGGAAGAGAAAAAAATTTGGAAACACCCTATAGAGAACCATGAAGCAAAACTATGGAACATATGAATTTTTATCAGTACGCAATTATGAAATTTCCATATCGCGTTGAACACAATGGTTCTAATTCTCTGCGCTTCGATTTACATTGCAAAACAGTGTACGGCAATCTGTTTAACGACTGAAATGTTCGTTCTGTGCGGTACAAAACTATTTTCGAGTGGCCATCATAGATGCATCTGAATTTCAACGATACATCCTTACCGATTAAGTCGAGGAAAGAAAACGCCATGTATCATTTTTCTTGCTGGAAAGATTCCACTGTATCGGAATTTCTACCGCGTCCTGTTTCACTCGGCTCCAGTTTTTCCCTCTTTTTTGCAATGTCACTCACAGATTTCGTCTGGGTATAAACAGGGAAAACTAAAAGTAAAAAGGAGTCAACGATCGTCGAATTTTTATGATACTTGCTTTCTTTTGTTCAAAGTATTAAAAGTAAGTTAATAATGATACAAAGTGAAGTATCGAGTAATGTTCACAACATTAAAATTTCTAAAATTATGCAATATTTTATCGTTTATGGAATTTTATAAAATTAACGGTCGTGTTACGAGTTTCGTATGGTGATTATATAAGGCTGACGTTTCATTTAGTAACAGGAAATTTTAATTTACGGTACGTCGCGTTTTGTACAAAGGGTGAACCGAAGGGTTGCTCGCGTCGCACAATACTTTGGTGGAATCCGTTGTTGGTGCAGTTTCATTGGCACGAAGCTGTTGTATAATTAAATACCGGAATTCGATGCAATTGTTCCCGATATTACGTTCTGCTAGATAAGCCAATACTTGTGATACGGGACGGCGATGTCGATATTCAAATGCTACGATAATATCGGTCTTCCACGTGCGCCATGTTAGAGTAGAATTAACAGGTTTCGAAGGGATGGAACTAGCAATCGGGAGAATCAATTCCACCCTTATCTAATATACGTCTAACAAACATCTTCAATTTTAATTTTCACGAGAAACGTTTCGATCATTTTATATATGCAAATATTCGAATATCTTAGTAGGCGGCTTCTCTTAATTCCGCTATTCTGGTAACACGAAGACTGTTGGCTCTCTAATTCGTTTAACACCCTCATAATTACGACAGGTGACTAATGTTATTACAAACTGAAGCTTGTCAGTTATGAAAGAAACCTTTCAAGATGAAGTAGATTAGAATGTCGTTCCACACAGTGAGCCAACGAAGAAACCCTCTGTTTTTCTCTCCGAAAAATGCTTTCACACCTACCGTAAGGATCATCTCGCTTAAAAACTCACACTGTCATTAAGGTAGCTTAATAATTATTTGACATTGTCCCAGATGCGAGAGGACCACTAAAATCCCTACTCGTATCTCGACTTTGACAAACGTTGAAAAACAGAGGCTGAAAGGCAGACAAACGAACTGCAAGCGTGAAGAAGATCCCCCAAGGAGAAACTAGCTAATTGCTGCAGAGTAATCTGAGAGTAGAGGCTCGCCAATTAACACGGTGACAATGTTTGACGAAACGAAGATTAATATCTCACCGTTGTAACATTCTTCGTAACTTTCATTTCTTATACCATTTATATTGACACTTCTTGCTACGAAGAAGTTGAAGTTGAGGAGAAGAGGAATCAGCATTAGTCGAAAGATCGATCGGTAAGAAATTGTTTCAACCCGTTCGCTGCGTCTGGCTGAAGTGAATCAAAGGAAATTCGATTTCCCAGGCAGAAAGTTCGGCTAACACGTATTATTATACGGAATTCCTGAGATAACCGCGGTAGATTGGTGGCAGCCACATGCGGTACGTATCGTTGGACCGTTGCCAATGACAAACGGGGTGGAGGTAGATTTAAGTAACTAGTTCATGCTCATTGGCGTGTATCTCTCCGATCTCCTTCTGGCGCCAGGATCGCACGAGTTGCCAAGCTAGACGGTTTTCTATTCATTTCTACGCGGTTCCACGATTTTTCAACCCCATCGGCTAACTTCTACCAGGGCAACAATTCTT